GTTAAACTAATACATTCTTTCGATCCCCTCAGAATCGAATATAAGAAATTGGCTCTTTATAAAATAAATATAATTATATTATATTATATTATATACTAGCTGATCCCGTGCACTTCCTTGCCGGCAACTAATAATTTTATTATTATTATAATAGCTTCAAAACTCATGGATACCGTTTATAAACAAAAGTTTCCATAGAAAATCTCAAAATCCCTGTTTGAGAACCTATTGAGGTTGGTCCTCTCCCTTTTTAAATTAGTCTATCATCTGCCAAGAGGTCTAATCTGTCTATACATAATATATAAAAATAGCTGATCCCATTAAAATAGCTGATTCGTTGCCCATTAAAAATGCCAACTCTATTTGAATAATTTGTTTTTCATATTACCATGGCAACCATTTATATATAAAAAAATCTATCGTAAAATTCAAAATCATATATAAATGGTTGCCATGGAAATATGGACACACAGCACACGACAGACATACATTCATTTTTATATTTTATATACTATATATATTTATAGGTACTTACACAGTTACACCTAAATTTGTAAGAACTAAAAGTAAAAATACTTGTTATTGTAGATATAGATGACTGAAATAATTGCATTATATTATACTTTAATTATAATTCAAACCATACACTTCACTTAGAATCTAAAATGGTAATTTTACAACTTCACTGGTGGCGTAGCTAGGAAAAAATGATGGCCATTGAATTTTTAACCATCATTATTAAAAACATATTAACCGACTTATTTTATTGTAATAATCCGATACCTACCCTAACAATAAAATATTGTAGCCCCGAAAAATACGGCACTGGATATCCGATATATCATTGGAATAGTGCTGTAGAGTAGATGCTTCACAAAAAAAATTTACATAATATAATAATATTATGATGATTTCAATGCAGGTAAAATACGAAAATAGGAATACGCAAGTGGCACTATCTGTCTAGGAAAAATGCAATTTAAAAATAATATTTACTGGACAAAGTCTTTTAATAAGAAATGAAAAGCAGTAACCAATGTGGCAATGTCCAATTTATATAATAAAAATAACACCCTATTCGATATTTTTTCTCTACAAGAAAAATCTACGAATCATAATAATATGTTTTTGTTAATAAGTAATCATGACAATGAAAACCTAACGAAATATCATCGGAAATAAATAATCTTGTATCCAGTATTCCAGCCCAAAAAAATATTTATGATAAAAGATAATATTTTACTATCGTTTGTTATTTAAATATGTACATTGTACATCAAAAGTCAATGTATTGTCTACATAGTACATACTAGTATGAATATTATTTTCCCTGACAATTTATGTCTTCTCATATTGGCCAATTCCAAAGTAATTGTATGAAAAATAAAACTACGAGACACTTATAATATTGTTGCCTCACCCTTCAAATATTTTTATTTTTGTCAAAACAATTTTAAAATGTACATAACACAAGAGTAGGTACTCTTTTTTTATTAGGGCCTCAACTACTAAGGTTATTGACTTACAATATTTTCAACAGTATTAAATAAGTTTACATCATGAGGATATGAGACTAAAATATTATATAATAAATGCTCATGTTAAACAAATATCCTATTATCGTTTTTATTTATTACCATATTGTATTTCGATGTATGTAATTTGAATATACCTACCATTTTTTATCCTAGTGCTCAGCCCATAAACAATAAACAAATAATTAAAATTAAATAATAAATAAAATAGAAAACATAAAAAATAACCTCTTAAAGATAATATCAACGTCAGTCATGATGGTAAAGTATAGCTTTTATGATTTTTTTACCATGTTCTTTAACAAATACAACGATTTAAAATGAATTATGCGCTATTAGGCCGCGTACACTGCAAGGTTGTCCAGTAGGGTGGAACGGAAAAATTTGTTTTGTAATTTAATTTTATAATATTAAGGAAAACTTGTGTTTTAGTATGTATAATATCATGTAAAAGAAAATTGTCAACATAGAGTGTTGTTTTGTGATATCTCCGAGCATTTAAAATCTATATTATTATAGAAATAGGTAACGAAAAACCAAAGTACCTATCATCATTTTTATTACTTTTCGATATCACAAAATTTATTTTGACCATAGTTATAGTTCAATAGATTAAAATAAATAAGGCAATCAGCATTATTATCATTTGATTAGTATCGCACTATTTATCATCGAGTGTGGACGTAAACCAAGGTTTATAGATAATAGAGGTTGCCTCATAGGCGTGCGCACGGGAGGGGCAGGGTGGGCAGCTGCCCCTCCTGCGGGCTCAAGTTTTCTTACAAAATAACAAAGTTTTTAAAAAAATATTATAATACAGTTTTATATAATGAATATTATGTAAACATTGAGTGCTCGATGTACAGTGCACGATGATTTTATGTTGTCCAACTTTAAGCGAACCACAAGCGATACCGCGGTGATAACGAGTGCTTATAATCTTATTATAGCATGATGTAGATTGAGATGTGATGAGACATGAAAGTGAGTAGTAATTTGACGGCATTTAATGCGAAAAACGTTCACCGGAAGCGCTAAGAAGGTCGGTTCTTTAAATAATTAGTAATTAATAATTATAATAATTAGTATGCAGTATACGAACAAATATTATAGCTCTTTACTTCCGAAGCAATTTTCGGAATTTTTAGTATTTTAGTATTTTTATGCTCAACGTGTTGATTAAATCAGAATATACCTATCTTTTTTTTTAATGTGGTGTTTTATATTGAAATTAATTTTCTATTTATACTGTAACCTACAAATCAAATTGTTTATTATATACCTATAAAGTATAATTTATAAAACAGTTTAAATAATAGGTTACATGCCTACAATAATGTATAAATTTCAATATTACCAAAGAATAGAATATTATTGATACATTAATGCATGATATAATAGTGGTACTATTTTTGGAAAAATCATACTAAGGATTTACATTTTTTTTTAAATGTTGATATTTATATGTTCAACGTGTTGGTGCAAATAATAATTTACCTATCTTACTTACTTTTTTTGTAATTGTAAATAAATAGTAAGTAGAATTAGTAAATTCAGATTTCACCAACACATCGGGCATAAAAATATATATGAATGCAGTGGCGGATCCAGGGCTTAATTTTGGGAGGGGCATGGGGGGCTCAAAAGTATATGAAAGTTCCAAAATTGGCTAAACACAGTGTAAAACAAAGGAAAACTACGGTTATTGGGGGGGGGGGCAAATGCCCCCTTTTCCATCCCCCTGGATCCACCACTGTATGAATGTAATAATTTTCTTTGTTCATGTATATTAATATAATATAAAAAAACTTTGGAGTTTCAATTACTATATTAAATTTGTAGTTATTTGTAGTTTTAATGATACATAAAATGAAAATACTTCCATCACTTACATTAATTGAACTAATAACCAAAATAATATTTACTTACCTATATATTATATAATATACCTATAGGTACATTATTACATTCTGCCCCCCCTGCCAGCAAGGTCTGCGCACGCCTATGGGTTGCCTCAAAGTGATGTAAACAAATCAAAACCCACCGCTCCGTCACCTATCATGTGACGTCACCCGTCGTACAACATTTAGCGGCTATTTAGTGTTTATATGATACGTAGACGTAGTACAAGTTTATAATTATTAATAAAGTATTAATAATTATATAGTATTTGTATTATTTTTACTGTTTTTTGATACAATATTTGTATATTAATATTCTTTTCTAATTCCCCGTTCTATGTTTATAAAACATATTTCTTTTAAAATTATCTTAGATTGAAAATCAATAATATGAAAATGATAATGGCATATTGCCAAAAAGCAATCTAATTAGCTCTAGTTTACTATGCAAAGTACCTATTATAATACGCGTCGCATCAAATAATATACATTGTTCATTACCAATCGGTATGCTGAAATAGAAATTGCTTAACCATGAGCTACTAGCACAACTTGAGCAGTCCTTTGCCAGGACACTTACCTACCAGACATTTCCTATAGTCGACAAACTTCAGTATAAGCTCTTAGTTCTCATAGTGCTGGACGCTGGTCATTAATATGACCATATTATTGTTTGAATTACATCATAAATATTATTTTAACAGCAATTTTGACAAATAAATTTTTATTTTGTATAATATGCATATCAATTATAAAACATTATAGTTATACATATTAATTAAATTTCTTAAACATAGTATTTTTCATCATTAATATTTTAATAATATAAAAGTAATAAAAATTATGCTCAAGTAAAATATGAGTTGTGTAAAAGATATAAAAAAAATTTCAGTCAAAAACAAATTAAAATAATACATTGGAGTAATTAAAAGTAATAATTTAATTTTTTAGTCGCTTAGATTTAAGTCATCAGTCTTTTTAATTTTTGTAATCTATGCAGCTGAAGTTTTGCTTTTCTTTTTTTATTTAACACATTTGTATGCTGATTTAAATATTTCATACGAATAAGTACTCTTTGTTTTACATACGTCTCAACTCTCAACAACAGGGTTATACTTTTCTTCCAATTCCATTCTCTCAATAATTTTTTTTGACAAATTTTTAACAACTTTAGGTCCCTTAGGAATTTGTTGTTTGGTAATCTTTTTGAATAATCTTTCAATTCTAAAAATATATAAATATTTTTCGATCAAACACGGCATTAAGTATAATGTATAAACTATTAGCAGTGATAGCGATTAGTGAATTATTGTACGACGGGTGACGTCACGGACAATTTACCCCCACTCCCATTTTTTCATAATTTTTGAATTGAGGCAACCTCTATTATCTATAAACCTTGGACGTAAACGACGTTCTATAGTGCTAATATACAGTTAATAACGCTTTTAATTTTCAATTCATTTCTGAAATGGCTATTTGTACCAAAATTAAGTCAAAATGTCTAATTTTTAGTGACACTCTAGTTCTTAGTAATTTAGTTTTACCTACCTATGCAGATGTAATGAAGTTCTATTTACAAGTAAGAAACCAATTAAAACAAAATAGTAACGGAAAAGATCAAAATGTTAAAATAATTTCTGAAATAGTAGTGACAGATGTAGAAAAAATATGGCAGAAAGCCTCTATTCCAATAGTATCGCACATTCGTGCACTACAATTATTAATAAATTATCACGATCAGTACAAAAACATAATTAAATCAATTAAAAACAGGAAAAATACATTAACTTTTAAATCAAATCTAGAAAAATTTCAGAATAATGCAAAAGACACACCTTTTTTATTTAGTAAAAAATGTATTAAGAAATATAGAAGAAAGAAAGAATTCACGACTATTTTTCGGAAAATACAGATCTTTCAAAGAGGGTTTTATAAATCCAAAACCTGCATAGTGAAAGATGCCCACGGCTGCTTGATTACAAAGGAATCAAATATAGTTAAAGAATTTCGGAATCGTTTCAAAGAATTACTGAGTACCACTAACGAGGATATCCACCCAGAGGAATATCAAGAACATACCACTTACTACTCTGTACAGCCAGAATTACCAGAACCAGAATATGAAGAAATAACACAGATAATTAAATCTCTAAAAAACAATAAGGCACCGGGGAGAACAATATCAATGCGGAATTAATTAAAACAGCTAACCCAAAATTAATTTCAAAGATTTGGCTATTGATCAAAGAAATATGGGTGAGTGGAAAAGTCCCGAACGACTGGAAAACAGCGATCATTTGCCCGATATTTAAAAAAGGAGACCCGATGGAAACATCAAACTATAGAGGAATCTCACTTTTAGACACAAGCTATAAAGTTCTGTCGATAGCAATCCTGCGAAGGCTGGAAGTCTATGCTAACGACATAATTGGAGACTATCAAAGCGGCTTTATGAGAAGGAAATCTACAACATACCCCATTTTTAGTATCAGACAATTGTTAAAAAAAGTACTATGAGTACGGTAGAAAAGTGCATCTTTGCTTCGTGGACTTCAAACAGGCGTACGACAGTATTATAAGGAGAAAACTATGGGCAGCACTGGAGGAATTTGGTATACTAACCAAACTAATCCAGCTGATAAAAGAGTGCAATACCGAAACAAAATGTAGAGTAAAATATGCAAATACACTGTCAGAAAGTTTGAAGTTAGGGCTGGCCTAAGACAGGGAGACACGCTCTCTCCAGTACTTTTTAATTTGGCTTTAGAAAAAGTAATTAGATCTCTCCCTGCTGGACAAAATATGGAAATCCTGGGACAGAACACTATCTTAGCCTACGCAGATGACATTTTAATAATTGGTAGCTCTCGAATCGATGTGGAAATGAGGACCGCGGACCTAATTAAAGCAGCGGAACCGATGGGATTAAAAGTCAATCATGAAAAGACTAAATACCTAGTAGTATCAAGAGAAGAGAGAGCTCTAGATGATATGCTAGTGGATTGATATGTCTTCCAACAAGTAACAGATTTCAAGTATCTAGGAACTAATATAAACAACCGTAACAATATGCACAACGAAATCAAATTGAGAATTGCATCAGGGAACAAGGGATATTATGCACTTGTGAAATTGTTTAAATCGAAACTTTTGTCCAGGAAGTCAAAAGAATATCTATATTCCAGCTTTTTACGACTGGTCTTGACGTATGGTTGTGAAACCTGGTCGGTAACTAAGGGAGATGAAGAGAAGTTAAACATATTTGAAAGAAAAGTACTACGTCGAATATATGGCACTGTAATTGAGAATGGTGAATATAGAAGAAGAACTCACCAAGAAATGTACCAAATGTTTAATAAACCCATTATAAGTGCGTATCTAAAAAGTAAAAGGTTAGAATTAGTGGGGCATATCTGGAGATCGAAAGGTATTGCAAAAAATCTATTCAATGTAAGACTAAACTGTAAAAGACCTAGGGGTCGACCAAGACAAAGATGGGCGGACAGAGTGAAAACGGATCTCACGGAAATCTCAGAAGATTTAATAAGGATTGAAGATAGCGAAGATAGAGATAGGTGGAAAGATGTGGTTGAGGCAGCGAAGGTCCTAAATGGACTGTAAAAGCTAGAAGAAAGAAAGAAAAAAATGTATTGAATTCTATCTTTGCTCTTTTGAAAAATCTCGTAAAGTTCCCATTATCGAACAAATGTTTCTGATGGACCAAAGATCAATGAGAAAAATGGCCATTTCATCGATTGATGTTTTAACAACCAAAAAACTTAATAAAAACCTTCACAGAAAAGAAACAGAAGCAAATTTAATTTACAAACAAAATAAAAACCAGCCAAGTGCGAGTTGGACTCGCGCATGAAGGGTTCCGTACCATCATCCATAATCATGTTAGCAACAAAACTTTTTATATTGTATATTCTAGGGTTTTTAGTATTTGTTGTTATAGTGGCAACAGAAATACATAATCTGTGAAAATTTCAACTTTCTAACTTTTATGGTTCACGAGATACAGCCTGGTGACAGACGGACGGACTGAAAGCTGAGCCTTAGTAATAGGGTCCCGTTTTACCGAATGGAACCCTAAAAAGAGCTTTGTGTAAATAATACTTTGGAAACAATAGAAACGGATGAAATATAATATACTGACGAAGATTCCAATTATTCACCAAATTCAATGTCCTCGTTTCCTTCAACGTATAGTGCTAACAGTCAGAAATGAGACTCGAGTTACCAGCTCCAACATTAGTGTTACCTGACGGGAATACGAGATCGAACTACTGTCAATAACATTTTGCTGTTATAAATTAGCACTGAAACACCGGAAGAAAACCTAATAACTTTAACTGAATTTATTTTAAAAGTTTATGCACCTATATGTGGTTTCACATAAAAATGAAATCATTTTGTTCATTAGGTTCAAAACATGGCTGGCAAACCATTCAGTTTTCAAGATCCTTACTAAAAAATTATTGATTGAGTTATTCAAAAAAATGCATATTTTGGAGCACCCCATATTCTTTTAAGTATGCTTTAGTTGATGATCAAATGTGTATAAGATAACTTGCTATACAAATTTTTTTTAATTCAAGACTTAGCAAAGCAACAGTTCGTATCTTTAAAGAACCTTTACTCAATTTCGATGCTTCTGATTATACCGAATTAGTAGAGTGGAACAAATGTGAAATATCTAAGCCACCAATGTTATAAATGATTGAAAATTAAGTTTTGAATTGAGTGATATATATATATTTTACTAAGATGTTTATTAAATTTAAATACTTAATTTATTATTTCTTCCAAATTGTGATGTCCGGACAAGTTTCTGAGTACATTAATATATTTCCATGTCATACTCAAGCTGTTGAGACAGTCGTTAAGTTAGTAACCGATGCATCTACAGCGGTTTGTGGTGAATCAGCTAGAAATGGATTTGTACGAGCTAGATTTGAGTCGTGGGCTATAATTCCATCATTTAATACAAAAAAAGAATATGAATTGAATAAATTATGAAACTAGGTATACAATAAGTAAAATTCTAATGATAGGTAATTTTATAATTTTTTTTATTATTTTGGTAAGGAATAATGTAAAATAAAAATAAAATAAATTCATATTATGTATTTATGCATATAATAAATAAGTACACGGCGTGACCTCAAAAAGTTATCCCATGACCTCCAAAGTTTTTGTACTTTTTAATACTCTTGAAATTCATAAAAAAATGTCCATTAAAAACCAAAAAAAAATGTTTTCTTTTTTAATTCATTCCACCCTATTGTCCAGCCGTACTAAAATTGACTGGTACCGAAAATTAAACCAGTGCATATAAATCTATTTTTGGGCAATTCCCCGTCTGCGTCCCTAAAATGACGACTCTGGATTAATTGATGATGAATTGTCTGCCCACAATTCCGATGGTAAAATCATTCTTTACGCAAGTATATATTTGTACACTATATTTTATGTAAGTAATTGCTCAGAATGGAATTAGTCAACACATATTATTAAACCTCATTATCGTTGGGTAACGGGGAAATTACAATGTAGTTAAACAATATTTTCAACCACTTTGATTTCATTCACTTTGAATTGTATGAATAGGTAAGATCCGGAATATTGAATCACTGTGATTTCCTTATGTCCTTGTAATATCATTAATGTGGGTATTTTTTCCGTTATCCTAATAAGCAATAGATAGTAGGTACTGATAAATAATTATAATACTAGTAATATTTTGTACCTATTGTTTTTTTTTTTATCGCAACAAGAGTTTTCATAATCTCTGATGAAAACCATGACGGAATATATCCATCCAATTGTTGTGTACTCTATTGTAGGTACTTCGTAAAATGCATGTCCTTACTAGCTATGTATAAAACTTGAATATAAAACCGTTTTGCACATTAAAAATTGAAATTTTAGTTGTAATTAGTGTAGTAATTATTATATTACCGCATGTACCTATAGTTGTTGGCTAATTTATAGTAGGTAAGTAGGTACTTATTATTTACACGTGTTTTCGAAAGCCTTCAACTGACTCATTTTAACATTTTTTGATGGATACAATATAGCTTTATGGTTACACTTGAAGTAAATGTACAGATTAGAAACTACTAGGTATCCTAACTAATGACCTAACTCGTTAATTATTATGGTCATTCGAGAGTTGAAGACTACCTATATAGTAAACAAGCCCGGATTAAGGATCAATTGGGCCCAGGGACATCATACAGTTAGTGGGCCCCCTTTCAACTTTAACTTCAAAATAATTGTTCAAATCATTACATATTAACATTTTATATTATCGTTTTTTTACTATACAAAAAATATACAGGGTGTATCTTATGTCATTACACGCTGGTTCTTTTTAACAATTATGAAGCGATATGGAATTTCGTTAAGACAAAAAAATACACGTGTTTCTTTATTTTTAACAGGCAATTTTTTATAACATTTTCAAAATTTTTAAACACTCAGTTGTACCAATAATAAAATCGACTTTATTTTTATTGATGGATTCCGGTATTGATTTTTTTCTGATCATTTTGACATTCAAATGATCAATTTTGGTTCGCTAGGTTATTAACTATGTTCCTCTGAAGTTTAGTATAATATGCATTAATACTTTTAACTGAAATACCTAATTCACAAGAGCTAAATAATTTTTTCTTATAACTACATTTTGGATTCTGAGTAGAACGAGGAAGCTATTGGTTTTACAATGGTGTTTATTATTTTTTTTTTTTATATCCAGTATACAAAATATCTACCAGAAGGAGTGCTTCGATTTCAACATATAGTACATTATCGTTTAGCAAATTAGATCAAGATGGTACTTTAAACAGGTCATTATTCGATTTTCTCAATATTTATTTAATTGCACAGGAAAAACCACCGAAAAATTACGGAAAACCTCTAAAAATGGGATTTTAATTTCTAACGCTTTGTTTATCACCATAGAAACAAATAAAAAAAATGTAATACCTATTATAATATAAATTCAACTTACAGGATATAATAAATAATAACAATATCCAGACTGACAAACCGTCTCCGCTCAGAATCGTTTTTTTTATACAATGATAATATTATATCATTGAATTCAAGTTTAATACAATCCTTTATGCATTGATCCAATTGTAACCTACCGTACCACAGAGCGACATCCACTTACCCCTTTTTATA